AGCATAGAGACAAAGTAGGCTGAAAAAACAACAAAGATTCTCAGTGACCTGTGAGATCAATTCACATAGTTTATCATAAGTGTAATCAGAAGTAAAGGAGGGCAGAAAAAATGTTTGAAGAAATAATGTCCAAATATTTCTTTTTGAAAAATATAAATCTATAGATTCAAGAATCTCAAAAAAAATCTAGGCAGATTAATGCACAAGCATGCATACACACTATCATTACTCTCAATTCTGTACCCACAATAATTTCTGCATAAGCGTGCATGTGCGTGTGTGCGTGCAATCAAGGCAAGTCACTGTTAAGAAAAGAGATACTTGTTCTGGGGATGAAAGAAAAGAAAATATTCTGGCTACTATACAGAAACGGTGCAAACCAACTGACAACAGAATGACATATTCAAAGTGCCAAAGCACTTCCTCAAACTGACTAAAAGCAATTACAAAAAAGCTGGAGCTAATATTATACTCAGTGGTGAAATATTGAAGGCTTTCACCCTAACATTAAGAAAAAGGCAAGGATGCCTACTCTCACAACTTTTATTTAACATTCTCCTGGTGTTTCTAGCCACTATAATAAGCCAAGACAAAGAAATAAATGGAACATATTTTGTAAAGGAAGAAATAAAACTTGATGTGAGTAGAGAAAAATACATCATTTATGAGAAAAATCTTTAAAATCTCCAAAAGAGCTACTAGATATAATGAGTAGCTATAAAAAAAGTCACAGGATATAAGGTCAAGATACAAAAATCTAGTTCTACATACTAGTAATGAACAACTGGAATATCGTAGTTAAAAATACCATTAACAATAGCATCCAGGGGAGAGGGAGAGCATCAGGATGAATAGCTAATGATGAGAGGCTTAATACCTAGGTGATGGATTGATAAGTGTAGCAAACCACCATGGCACAGGCTTACCTATCTAACAAACATGAATTTCCGGCACAGATATACCGAAATTTAAAATTAAATTAAATTAAATTTTAAAAATAGCATGCACAAACATAAAATGCTTAGGATAAATCTAACAAAATATGTGCAAGATTGATATACTTAAAAGCCACTAAATATTCATGACAGGAATTAAGATGCAAATAAGTTTCTCTAAAATTCATTTTCATAAATTCAAAACTCAATATTGTTATGATGCTAATTCTCTTCATATTTATTTATAGATTCAGTGAAACATCAATAAAAAGTCCATAGGGCTTTTTAAAAGAAATTGATGAACTAGTTTTATGGTTTATATGGAGATGATGTGAAAGACTAGAATGACAACAATTTAAAATAGAACACAGATGAAAGATTTACACTATAGATCTATAGATTCATTTACAGAAAACAAGGTCCAAAAATAAACTTGCACACAGATGGCAAATTGGTTTTCAACAAAGATGATAAGGTAATTCAACAGGGAACATATAGTCTTTCCAAAAATAGTATTGGAACAACTAGATGTCTGTATGAAAAATCATGAATCTTCACCTTCATACCGTATAATACACACAAAGATTAAATTGAAATGGATCTCAGACCTAAATGTAAAGGCTAAAACTATAAAGCTTATGGGGACAAAAGTAAGAAAAATTTTTCATGAACTTTCAATAAGCAAAGGTTTCTTAGAATATAAACCAAAATAAAACATCAAGGTAAAACTTGATAAATTGTCCTTCATCAAAGTATAACTTCTTGCTCTTCAAAAGACACTATTAAGAAAATAAGGCCAGGCATGATGACTCACACCTATAATTCAAGTACTTTGGGAGGCCAAGGTGCGAGGATCACTAGAGCCCAGAAATTCGAGACCAGTGTGGACAACACAGGAAAACCCCCTCTACAAAAAATTTAGAAATTAGCCAGTTGTGGTGGCACATGCCTATGGTCCCAGCTACTGGATAGGCTCAGATGGGAGGATTGCTTCTTGAGCCCAAGAGGTCAAGGCTGCAGTGAGCTGTGATCATGCCATTGCACTCCAGCCTGAGCAACAGAGTGAGACTCTTGTCTCAAAAAAACAAAAGAAAAATAAATGAAAAGTCAAGCCACAGGCTGGAAGAATAGGAGATAATATTCACAATACACGTAATAGGATACAAGGCCTGGTACTTATCTCTGGAATATATGTATATTTACAAAGTATAACACACACACACACACACACACACACACACAAACACACACACACACACACAGCCAATATGTCAAATGATATTTAGCACCAATACAAAAGATGTTCAATACCATTAGTTATCAAGGAAATGCAAATTAAAATCATGAGATACCACTACACACCCAGTGGGATGATTAAAATTAAAATTAACGAAATATCAAGTCATCGGTAAGGATTTGGAGCAGCTAGAACTGGAAGTATAAAATGGTATAATCGCTGTGGAAAACAGTTTGGCAGTCTATCATAAGTTAAACACATTACCATTATTACCATACTACCCAACAGTACCATTCCTAGTCATGTACCTAAGAGAAATTAAAATACACTTTCAGAAAAGAAATTGTATTCATGTTCTTAGCAGCTTTATTCATAATGGACAAAAATAGAGGGTCCAAATGACCATCACCAGGAGTGGATAAACAAGTTGTGGTCTATTTGAACAATGAAATACAAATTGGCAATAAAATAGGAGTGAACTGCTAATACAAGAGCAGGGAGAATTCTCAAAAAACATGTGCTAAGAGAAAGAAGACAGACACAAGAGAGTGCCTACTATAAGAATCCATTCTATGAAATTCTGGAATAGTCCAAACTAATCCATAGTGGTAGAAATTGAATAAATGATGACTACTTGGAGTATGGTATATGTGGGGAATTGACTTTATAGACCAAAGGGAACATTTTGAGAATGTTGAAAGTGTTCTCTATCTTGAATGGAGTGCTGTTATACAGGCATATTCATGTGTAAAATGCCTACACTTGTATACACACAATGATTGTGTTGTGTTTTATGTATGTTATAAACCAATACAATTTCCTAAACAGAAGGAAAATGAAAAAATAGTCGAGATATTTATATGCCATTTGTATAATGTTTTAAAAAGACAATAGGTAGTACATTTTTTGTGGATGCATCCATTTTGGTACAGATATAAAATCACGGGAATGAATGAAGCTATAAAAAATTCACATCAGAATCTAACTGCGATTCTTGCCAAAAGAGAAAAAAAAGAAAAAAATTCACATCAGAATCATGGTTTCCCCTTGACAAGGGAGGAATGTAGGTATGTAGATAGATTGTGAGGGAATCGCAAGGGCTTCTAATGCATTTGTAAATTTTGTTTTAAAATTTGAAGCCTATCTGTCAACATTGTCAGATTTGCTAAAATTAAATAATGAGTAAAAAAAATTATTATATTATGCTTTATAGTTTTTTTGTTTGATGAATTTTATAATGAAAAATCACAGGTAAATTTTAAACTTTAATAATTTATTAAAATAAATGACCTAAAGTGTTTATGGGTTATTTTCACAATAATAATAATCCAAGCTCTCTATATGAATAAGTACAATACCGAGAAAAATATTTACTTCTGTAATTTGCTTACTCCATTCCCAAAGCACCAACAATCAATCTTTTAAACATTAAAAATAAAACTTGACATGCTCCAAGTTCTTTCCAAACAATTTATTATGCTCCTATTTACTTAGTGTTTATAACCTCGTGAACTGCCATGAAAGATATGATGAATTCAGTTGCTGGACTCTGCCACTGGAACACAGAGTTAGTTTCATCAATCTGAGTATACTACATTCAGAAAGTTGATGAATGGTAACAGGATGAGCACTGACTTCCTGGACTATTAAATCAGAAGTTTTATTTACTTATGTGTTAAAGATTATGCTTAAAATTGTGATATGAATAATTGTGATACACATAAAATTGATATTACTTTTTATTTTATTTACTATAATTAATAATAACCTTCTTCATTGAATCATTACCATGTAATGATTCACAGTCCGTGTGACAGGCACTCTTCTAGGGACTTTACAAATATTAATTCATTAACTTCATGACAATTCTTGAAAGTAGGTGCTATTATATGGCTTTTACAGATAGGGAAACCAAAGCAAAAAGAGGTTAAATAAACTGCTCTAGATTATACATTAACTAAATGAAAGAGCCTAGACTTGAATACAAGAAGTCTGGGTTCAGAACCTGTAGTGTTTGCCACATACCCTGCTCTGTTACATGGAGGCCACTAGATATATGATAATATCTCTGATCTTACCTGCTTGGATGTAGTATATACACATTAACTCTATGCCCTCTCTCAAGAACAAAAGCTTCTGGATAGTATTTATGCAAATTCAGTTACTCATGTCACATAGTAAGTGATAGTGCCAGCCTTTGTATTTGGCTATCTAGTTCTATATTCTTTCTCTGATTCACTACCTCCTCCAGAATACATTTGGTCCAAACCAAATTCTGTGGTTTGTTTGCTCTGACTATGCACTTTGTCGCCAGATTTAAATCTCAAGCTCTGAAACTCTTAGATTTAAATCTAAATCTCAGCAATGATCATTTCACTGATCTGTTTGGTAGCCCTTCGTTGACTTTTGAATTAAACTCACATTTTACAAATAACTTTCCACAGTATTCTTTTGTTTCTAGAACTAGACCAAATTAGAATATTCATTGCTTACTAAAACACATCCTACACGTTCCCAAATACGATGCTTTGGCTCCTACAGTTCCCTCAATAACTAATGCCTTTCTTAGAACCTTTCTGAAGCCGTTTTTGCAGGTTCTTATCCGCTGGCATTCTCCATTTACTAGATTGTCAACTATTTGTAAACAAGGACTACGTTTCTCATAATTTTATCCATGTAACGCTTAGATAACATCTTACACATGACAGAAACTCAAACAAATATGTTCAACTGGGGGGTGGGGAGTTGGGGAGAGATAGCATGGGGAGAAATGCCAGATATTGGTGAAGGGGAGAAAGGCAGCAAATCACGCTGCCATGTGTGTACCTATGTTCTTCACATGCACCCCAAAACCTAAAATGCAATAAAACACACACACACACACACACACACACACACACACACACACACACACACAAATAATAAAGAAATATTTAAAAAAAGAAAAAAAGAAAATTTGCCTAAGCAGAAGTAAAATAATGTTGTCTGGGTGACAGTACATTTTCCTACCAATTCACACATGCTAAAATATCCTTGCAGTCAGGGAACAAACAAACACCTCTGGATCAAAGATAAATGAGGGTGAAATAGCAGGGAAAACTGGCATACAGTGATTAATGTATCATTTGTTCAGGATTATCAGTTATCCAGAATGTAACCAAGAAATCGATAGTGTGCAAAGAGCCTTTAAACAACTGAAGCTGACAAAAAGGAATTCTGTATAATTGGCAACTTATTAAAAAGTAGTTTATCAACAGTATTTTCTTATAGATACTTCAACAAACTTGGTTTTCCAGGTTACGGCAATCCAGAAACTGCAAAATTGATGGCTGATATACTTATTTTGTGCACGCACACACACACACACACAAACACACACACACACACACACCTTCTTATAAACAACACATATACCTTCAAAACCTAAAAATTTGGGACCATTTATTGAAATCCAACATATTTCAATAGCCACTGGATATAACAAAAATAAATATTACAACATCAGCCTCTGCATCTTTAAGAAAACATTTTTTTTCTCTTTCGATTAATTTATTGTTTAAGGAGATAAAAATGGGTTTGATGTATTTTTTAAAAGATCTCATCAAAACTAATTAGACTACAAAGGTAGGGTAAGGCAGTTCCAGAAGAAAGCTGGAACAAGATATCCCACAGGGCTGAAACAGGTGGTAGAGATGGAGAGGCAGATCTGGACTCAGCTGCCAATGCGCACATTCATGGAGGCAGACACCAGGTCCAGAGAGTACAGTAACGAACAACAGGTGGTGAACCCAACTAGGACACATGAGAGTAGACTAGCAAGAGGTAGCATATCATAACAGGCAGGTGAAGCAAGGCGAAAGAGAATCCAGGAACTGGCACCATGCAGGTCCAAGTGGCAGGGAAGCAGGTCAGCAGGGAGCAAGATTCTACTTACCATCTAGACTCAGTGGTGGCTCACTTCCTCAGGGTGATATGCAGAGTAGAGACCCAGATGGGTTTGGATGGCCCCTCATATTCTGATTATGAATATATAGATAAATATACACAGACACACACACACACACACATATATAAATACCCTTTGCAGTGCCTTAGAGTACTAAATAAACGGTAACTCAGTGAGTGAGTACATGAATGAACTTTTTTAAATGTTTTAAGTAATTTAGGCTACTAAAGAGATTTTAGAGGCAGAGAATCATCAAAATCAATACCAAAAATGTGTTACCACTAATCTAACCAAAGCAGTAATAAAGTAAACAAAAATAACAGAAGTCAAAATTACCATTATATGCATACCTAGAAGATACAGATAAATAAACTGAAAAAATATATAAGTAATAAAAAATTATCTAATTCAGGTGACTGCAAAATAAATATGCAAAAACCATAAGCAACCAATTAACATGATTGAAAGATATAATGGGAAAAATTATTTCACTGACAATGTCCAAACTGTTATAAAATATTGAGAGGGTAAACTTATGGTGCATTTCTGAAGAAAACTATAAAATAGGGAAATGAAAAATATGATTATTTTAAGTAAGAGAGGCCTATTATAAAGAACATCATTCTTCTCCAATTACTTCATAGGTTTAATGTGCTAATTTAAAAATCTTAATAGCATTTTATTGTTCCAAATTTGAAAAAAAAAAAAAAAAGCCTGTTAAATTCATCTAGAAGAATGAATAACTGAGAAATGGGTTTCAAAATTCTGAAGATTAAAATGATGAAAGGAAAACTGCCCTTTAATATATTAAAATAGTTTATTATCTAAACAAGTTAAAAATATGTTATTGAGATGAGAAGCAACCAAGACCTCAATGAAACATGCAGGTTTTTCTAACACAGTCTGTGTTATAAGATTTCAATAGCAAGGAAATATCACCCACCAACGGAAAAATGATGGTAGGCAACGAAAATAATGGAATCAGGTCAGATATAACCTCATCACCAGAAACCAAAATGGATTATGGAGAAAATAAATCTTAGTATGTCCCAAGGCCTTGTTTCCCTTTAAAGTCCATAAATAATTTCACCCTTCTCAGGATAATAGCTCATCGATGTTTAACGTCCAATGAATCCTCCAACCCTAATATTTAGACATTTACATTTTCTTCACAATTTATAAGAATTCAAGAAACTAAACCTGAATTTTAGGACAATGGACTACTTTCAGTAACCTTACTTCCTGGTACAACACATTTAACAAAAATAGCCTATAATATAATCTGTTATAACTAGGAAGGACTTGTTAAAATAAAATGTAGACCAGTCTGAAAAATTTCTAAGCAAACAAACCCAGTTAACATTGAAAGTAACCTTAACCTTGCTTAGACTACAAATATAAGCAAAACAAGTTGGGACATTTATTGTAAATGCCAGAATCATTAAAAAAAAAAAAAAAAAAGTTCAACAAATCAAAAGCTGCCAGCAATGGAATAGACCAAATATGACAACTGTGTAAGTGTAACCACTCTATTTTCAATTTCTTGTTTCCACATTCATGCTATAAAAGCCTTCCACTTGCATTTCTTTAGTAGAGCTCAAGACATCCTTCAATTTGGTATTTCCCCAATTTATGCATCACTGATTGCTCAAATAAACTCTAAAATTTGTATTGTGTCTCAGTTTATCTTTTAACAGTCCTTATTTGTATAACTGAATTTCCCAGGTAATTGAAGCTTATTATTGAGAGCAAGCTACCTGGTTTCCTGTTCCAACATCCTCATCTCTATATTTTAGAAGCAACTCAATCTAACCATAAAGCTCAGCCTCACTCTGGAAAGAATTTAGTCCTTATCCAGGAGAATATTATATTCCTTCAGTACTCTTAGATCAACATCTAGAAAATCTTGCTGTAAATGTACTGCAGGCCTTGTTTCCCAGTCCTAGAAACTAAGATTCTGTCTTATTTACCAGATGCACTTCTTCTACTTGTACCTAAATTCCTGCTTGTATTTTATTTTCTTAAATATTTATTTTATTTTATCATTACAAAATACAAAATTATTATATAATTTGTACAAATGTCAGAAAAATCTAAAAAGGAAAATGAAATTATATCACATTAAATTCTAGTACCAAAGGGTAGCTTTTTTACAATTTGGAGTAATGTTTTCAATCATTTTCTTTCTGGTCATGGTCACTAAAAGAAATGCAAGATTTCATGAAGTTACTTACTGAGATAATTGAGGGATTTATGGCATTGGTTAGATGTATGACCATTTTGCTTTTAAGGCTTGGGCTTGAATTAAATGAAATTTATAAAAAATATTTAATAAGTGAATCCTTTCAAAAATTGGCTAAATTTTTAAATCAGTTGTAATAAAAGGCTTGTTTTGCTGAGTTTTTCATGATTATGGGTTCTTTTCTAAGAAAATGAATTACTATTTTTAAAATCATGTTTCATTAGTCTCGTTTTTTTTCAATTTCCTCAATTTTTTTTTGAAATGCTACACTTCATTTGTTATGGTAAACTATAAAGAAATATGCTACATACTTACTTTAATGAACTGTTTACATACTGACTTCAATCTAACTCCACCAAACAGGAACTTATTACTTGATTTTTTTTCCTTTTCTTTCTTTCTTTCCTTTTTTTTTTTTTTTTTTAATGTGAGACGCAATCTCTCTCTGTCACCAGGCTGGAATGCAGTGGCGCGATCTCGGCTCACTGCAACATTTGCCCCCTGAATTCAAGCCATTCTCCCAAATCAGCCTGCAAGTAGCTGGGACTACAGGCGCCCACCACCATGCCTGGCTAATTTTTGTATTTTTAGTAGAGTTAGGGTTTCACCATGATGGCCAGGATGGTCTCGATCTCTTGACCTCGTGATCTGTCTGCCTCAGTCTCCCAAAGTGCTGGGGTTACAGGCATGAGCGATGGTGTCCAGCCTGATTTTTAAACAATATGCCATGTAATCTAGCAGTAGACATTACAGTGAAATAGAATACTTCATACTTTAGTATGTCAAGGTAGGTGGTAATACACCAAGAAAAGGTCATTATGTTAACTTCTAAAGTAAATACAATAATAATTTGAGATATGTTTATGCAAATTTAATTCCAACAAAGAATTATTTGTATAACAACAATATGTGAGGCCAAGTGACCTATCCTAGCATTTCTTTTCTGTATGTTTGCTTTCACTTTAAATGTACAATATGAAGATTTGGGGCTGATATTAAATCTCCTAGGGATACCGTGAGCAGAGTTAATACACCTAAAGAACTTTAAATAATAATTGGCTCACAGTTAGTATTTAAATAGACTGGTGTTTATAATCTCTATCACTGTATGAGAATTTGGACTTTACAGTAATTGAATTGTAGTTTTATTTCTTCTTGACATTGTATTCTAGAACCCATGTTTTAAAGTAGAGCTTTATGTAAGAAAAGGAGTTGTATTACATAGAGTGTACAAAGTGATTTATAATTTAAATGATACTTATTTCTACTAATATAAAATCATTTAACTGTGTATTTGAGAGAAATTTATGCTTACTAATAGCCAAGGTTCATTCCCATTTGAAATAAAAATAATTTTAGATTGGAAATTTCATTAATCTTCCTTTCATGCCTTTTATGTCATATATTATAGTTAGAGATGGGTTTATAATCACTTGCTGGCTTTTCTTTTATCTAACTCGAGTGCATTTATCAATCATTGAACATAAAATAGGCGTTGGGCATTGTGCTAGGCCAAAAGTTCTCAGCCGTGTCTGTACATTTTAATCATTTTCCATTTCGCAGGGGATTCTATTGTGCAGCCAGGTTTAAGAACCATTAGGCTGGACACATTTAATCTCATCAAAATTTCTATGAGCATCTACAGAAATATTCTGGTTCAGTTGGGCTGCCGTGGATCTCTGAAATTCAAATTTGAACAAGTTCCCTCAGGGATTCTGATAAAATTGATCACAGGATTATTACTTAAGAAAGCCTGAGTCCTGATTATGTCAATTGCACCATATAGTCTAATGCGATCATTTCACAGGCTTCTTATATTTTACAAAATTATTTTAAGGTAAACTAAAATATTTGTATTACTACAAATCAAAGGCTTTATAAAGAAGAAACATGAAGGATACAAATAGATGAGATAAGGATTAGTTTTCCATGTGGGGTTCCATACTGCTCTGACTATCTTCAGTTACCCATCAAACTCTGAATCAGCAAGGTTTGGGAGGTGACAAGGTAGCAACACAGATTAGCTTCTGATGACTCTTTTGTAGAGTGAGCAAAGGTAAAGTAACCACGTCTTGAGATCCTCACACTTATGAGGCCAGCTAGATGAAACAATGACTCATTGACACAGAGACCGAGGACATCAAAGATGGCCAGGTATGCAGGAGCGAGGTGACTAGGAACAAGTAGCCCATCACTGCTGTTAACACACATAGTCAATAAATAATCATACTCACCTATAGAACAATAGCATGAAGGTCTGATTGGTGTACTATAATTTGGTTGTGACAGCTAGACTTGTGTCTAAAGCTTAGCTATTTTAGCTGCAGAAAAAGAAGAAGTGTTGTTACAAAGTGCATTTTGAGTAGAGAACTTTTGGTCCCATAAAGGTTTCAGGAACTTCTGCCCAAACAAAAGTTTTGGCAGAATTACTTTCAAAGAGAGTAAATGAGCATTATGTCTTGCACTGATTTAAATATGCACCTTTTGAGCAAAACACCATAAAATTTAAACAAATATCAAATAGAAATAAAAATTTAAATTTTTTTAAATTGCATTTTACGTTTTGGGTACATGTGAAGAACATGCAAGATTGTTGCAAAGGTACACACGTGGCAGTGTGATTTGCTGCCTTCCTCCCCTTCACCTATATCTGGCATTTCTCCCCATGCTATCTCTCCCCAACTCCCTACCCCACGCTGTCCCTCCCCTATTTTCCCCCAACAGACCCCAGTGTGTAATGCTCCCCTCCCAGTGTCCATGTGTTCTCATTGTTCAACACCCGCCTATGAGTGAGAACATGCGGTGTTTGATTTTCTGCTCTTGTGTCAGTTTGCTGAGAATGATGGTTTCCAGGTTTATCCATGTCCCTACAAAGGACACAAACTCATCGTTTTTGATGGCTGCATAATATTCCATGGTGTATATGTGCCACATTTTCCCTGTCCAAAATTTAAAATTCTAATAACAAAATGCCATTTCAAAACATTCTCAGGCCTGGTGTGATGGCTCATGCCTGTAATCCCAGCACTTTAGGAGGCCAAGGTGGTCAGATCACATGAGGTCAGGAGTTCAAGACCAGCCTGACCAACATGGAGAAGCCCTGTCTCTACTAAAAATACGTTAAAAATAGCTGGGTATGATGGCACGTGCCTGTAATTCCAGCTACTCAGGAGGCTGAGGCAGGAGAATCGCTTGAACCCAGGAGGTAGAGGTTGTGGTGAGCTGAGATCACACCATTGCACTCCAGCCTGGGTGACAAGAGTGAAACTGCATCTCAAGAAACAATAATAATAATAACCTTCTCATAGATGATAAAAGGTTTTGACAATTATTATCAGTTATTCATTCACTCACAAAAATTACATAGTATCTATCTTAAAACAGATAGTCTTCTGTAATCTGTATTGATTATTGCTTATTTCCTGCCCTATGTAATGGGTGGTATGAACAATAAGCACCATAAGGCAATGTGATTAATTTTAGGATATATGTAAGCATAGAATCAGATACTACAATCAGTACAAGCTATGAAAAGTGAATACACTTTGATGATCTACACTCTGCAAATAGTCTCTTTATGAATATTTCCTTACAGATTGAATTTTGAAGTAGAAGAACTTAGGAAACAACATCAAGAACTTCCAAGCTTTTTGTGAGTTATGTGCTTTGTCCACTAAATTTTATTCCCAAGGAAGCAAGTCACTAAAAAGGAGATGTAGTTTACCCTAAAGCCTTCTGTGTCAACCCAATGTTTTAAGCATTTTAAATAATTCCAGAGTAAGCGCTGATTTTCAAAACCCTGTGATTTTTTTTAAAGAGTTGATTTTGATAGAAGTCTAATGGTCAATTCTGAACTCAGAATGGCTTCACAATCCCACTTTCCCCCTTACAGCTTTTCCCGCTCTTGCACACACTCTCCCTCTTCCTCCTCCTTATCACTCTCATTCGTTTCTTTCTCCATTATTTGTCTTTAAGAGACTATTCAAAGTCCCAGAGTCTCAGAGCCTTATAAAGGTCTTGCTGTGCACTTCTGAAGGTATATCTAAATTATTGCACCCTCAGAAAAATTTCATGCTAATCTTATAAGATTTTGTAAGATTGTGCTTCATTTTTTCCCTGTGGCTGAGGTTACTGCTATGATGATGTACTTATAAAACTCTTTAAGTAACTTATCACCACCAAAAACAGTGTTACAGTATTATCATATATCCAAAAGCTGATTTTAATCATCACTTTGCTTTTCCAAAGGTAACTTATTCCATTGGGAAGTCTGGGATTTTCTTTAAAGTAGGCAAAAAATAAGCTTTTTGGTGAACTGACATGGATAAGATTAAAGAAAAATTTCTGCTATTAGAGATTTAGAAAACTATTTAGAATACCAAATCCTCAAAGAAGTAAAAATAAAGTTTGGGAACATAAGAAGTCTAGATACTCTAGAATCATATACTTAAGATTAAAGAATTAATATTTGGAAATGACTTAGTTCTTTCTAAAAGGCAGCATATGTTCTTAGTGCTATTGCATCATAATTCAAAATCTAAAAGACTAAAGCACATTAACGAATCTGAACAAAACAGTAAAAGGATATCGAAACAATCAAGCATCACTTATTGCACTTATATCATTTTTAAGCATAGCAACCACAAAACAATTGCTGCCTTTTGGCAAGCGTCAAATATAAACATTTCCAGGAACAGCACAACAGACTGATAAAGGGCAAAGCAACCTTTGATTCTTGCATTCTTTCTTTGTGATGTGATGATTCTCAGTAACCCCAAACAAAAGCTGACACACAAGAAAAGAGCATATTGTGCCATGGAAAAATCGTACCACTGCACGGTCCAACTTTATTTTATTACAAAACAAATATTAGACACATCTGCAGTAATTCCTTATATTATTCATTTTATGCCCTTCAGTCCTCAAAATGAGGGTTCTTTCCGATCATGAATAAAAATTTACAAAGTCGAGCATATTTCACAAAGGAATACAATAATCATTATCTGTTGCCTGCAATCTGTTAGTGCTTCAGTCATGGCTGTGAAATGAGAGTATTCACGCAGGTGTGCACACACGCCTACGAAATGAATAAAAAAAGATTTTCTGTAAGCAGTTTATAACTAGGGATCTATTGGATTTACTTAGGACAGGTGTGTGAAAAGATTCAGGTCAGGAAAGGAGGTATTGGCATGGATTTATTGCTGTCATGACCATTAAGTCTTGATAGAGAGAACTAATTGATTTTGCTCTTTTCACTTTTTAAGAGGTCAAGCTAAAGTTCCCTTTTTGAGAGTGGGTAATGGAACAAGTGGCAAACTGAACTAAGGACTCTGTGACATATATTAGAATTCTGGTGTTATTTGGTCCTCTGAACACAGAAGGAATGTCCAACAAAGAGCCATATCAGAAAAGTATGTAAAATCTTAAATTGCTACAACAGCTGAGCGCAGAGAATAGTTCTATTGAAAGAAAATTAATGAACAAGTGTCAAAATGGACAGTTGGTGTCAATTCCTAGAGGATTTGGACGTGAGAAGTGGAGTTGAGGAAACCATGTTAATAAGCTCTTGTTTGCATGACAAGATCGTCGTACCTCGCCAAATATCCATCATAGGAGTCATGCTTGTCACAGTTCACATTAAAGTGTTTCACAGAACAGAATGCTTTACTATGGGCCATGTAAGCTCCTTATTTTGTTGATCTCCAAAAGCATATGATCATCTATTTTCTCGGAAACAAATTTAGAAAGGAATTTTACCCTCAGCCTATATGGTAATTCTTGGACCAAACTGTGCCCATCATTGTGAGAAAGAAAAGACCCTTTCAAGCCCAAGCCAACTTATTGCGAAGTGAGTTTAAAATATGTTAACAAACCAAGATGTTTTGTTTCAGACTCTTTCAGTAGTAATCCCATTTAAAACTAAATTCTCTCTATTCTGTCAACTAACAAATGAGTAGAAATACGTGTTTTTTTAAATTTCTGATTATCAAATCTCATTAAAAAAAAGCTTAACACGAATTGAAAATTTCAAGTGTATTCCATCTCTATCTTAGGAACACTTTATATGAAAGACATTTCTTAATAAAGGCTTTCTTTATAAATGGCTTACATAAAATAATTTGTTAAATTTCAATATAAATTATGTTAATAAACCAAATATAGCAAAAATAATTACACTGAAGTGTAATTTATTTCAGCAAATCTAAATAATGGGAGACTAAAAAAACTAAATTGCTCTTCCAAAAGATCCTGGAATGTCTTTTTCCATGTGCTTTGAAGAAATAGATAAGATCAGTATTTGTTTTTATTTTTTTCTTTTATCTCCATCAACCACATTTACATTTAGCCTTCTCAATAGTTAAGACACCTCAATAATTTCAAGTGATAATAATATCCTCAAAACATGTCATGTCCAATCTGAAAAGACTTTCCTATCAATGAGCATTAGATATGGCTAGTTGTCCAGAGGATCTGTGTATTGGTTCTAGACACCTTCTACCAGCTGAGATCCCTTGGTCATTTTCAACCCTAGTCCTTGTAACTACTGTAAGTGGAGCACACTAATTGGGGGAAAGAGAAAAACAGGACATAAGAGTATTGCATAACTTAGTATTTGGAAAATGTTCATCTATTTTCTTGGAAACAAATTTAGAAAGGAATTCTACCCTCAGCCTATGTTGTAATTCTTGGACCAAACTGTGCCCATCATTTTGAGAAGGAAAAGACCCTTTCAAGCCCAAGTTCACTTATGATAGCCCTATAATGGTGCGCTAAATTATTCCATCTTTTTCCTTTTTCTTCTCACTGTGTGTTTTAAAACAATGAAACAGACCATGTGTTTTGAGCATCTTCATATGAACATCTATTTTGTGACCTCTGAGACAGACTGCCTTTACATAGTAGCGAACATGGAAAATGTCGTTGTGTCATTATTTGCTAATGGGGAAATACGTAGGTCCAAATCTCAGCCATCAGCTACCAACATGCCTCTTTTGGACATGTGACTGAAAAACTAACAAACAAACAAAAAAAGCAGAAGTTACCCTGAAGTTTCTCAAATAAACACTCAAAGCCCCTCTAAGGTAACCCGTGGAGGACGATTCTTTTGGTCACTGTAAGGAAATTCAGAAGAAAAGCTTCTCTTTAATTGTATGAATCACTGCCACATGAACAAGGTTTAAGTGTATAGCATGTGATCATGGGCAAATAGGTTAACTTCTCTTTGCTTTCTGTATTTTTAAAATGAAATCAATTATATAATATGCTTGGTAAAGTATTGTGAAGATGTAATGAAATCATTTATTTAAAGTACTTCAACATA